TGCAAAGATAGCTTCGTTTAAGGATAGGAACAGCTTAAATTTAAGCCAGCTTGAGCTGGCTTTTAAGCCAAGCTAAAGTCAGCTTGAGTCGGCTTAGAGCCGAATCAAACTACCTAGTACAGTCATTGTGACCTACATCGGTTAGTGATTGTACCCAGTTAACCTTTTTACTTAAAAGAATATATTATTTAATAAAATCCTAATAAAATAAGAGGGTAACAGTTATATCATTCAACTTACTGTTCTTGTAATATATCTTTTTTGAAAAGTACAATATTTGAACTCATTGAGCAGAAGTTGTATGGTTTTTTTTTGATTAGTAAGTAATTCTAATATTGCACAAGATGCAAAATCAACAATGAAACTTATATTTTTATATATATTTATGTAATATAATTTATATAATTTGATCATTGTCAAAAACAATTAAAAATAATGTAACAAGTGATTTGTAATAAATGTACAATTATTTTCACATTGGTAATAATAATAATTATAATTTTGATATTTAAAAAAAATAGTATTTGTAAATAAAATAAAAAAAAAACAAAAAAACCCTCAGAATTGTATGAAATATTGTAGTTTAAGAAATTTTTTTTACATTATTTATAATTACTAGTATGAATTATACACTACTACATACTATTTATATTACTTACAATAATATATAAATATTTTTATATTTTAATAATAAGCTGTATATAATAATAAAATCTGTATTATAACTAGTAGAAAGTATATCTGCTTATAATAAACTATTATATGCATTTTATATAAATTATTTTATTATATTTAATACTCCTAAAGATAGACAAAGTCATTATTACTTAATATTACTTGTAATAAATAATAATAAATAATTTTACAATAATTTTATTTTTAGTAGCAATTTTTCATTTAATCTTAATTTTGATCACTTACTTTTAATTGTTATTAAGTATTATATAATATGTAATAATTATTTAATAATACTTAATATAAAGTAAAGAATGTTATAAGTCTTTATTATTTATAAAATTTATTTTGTTTATTTATAAATATAACAGAGTATTATGAATTAGTAATTAGTTAAATCTGTAACTATTAATATTATATGGACTAGATGCTAGAAAAAGAACTAAAAATAACAAAAAAAAAGATTTTAAAAAAATTGATTTTTTTTTTGGTATTAAGGTGATCTCTTTGGTCTTTTGACTTTTATCAATCACTTATCAGTATTGTAGTTCAATGAACGATTACAGAAGAGCATACAATTAGTTACATCTTTAACTTTTCTATTACCTATTTAAAAAATCTGCCTAAAGGTTCTCTACCAATTGCTATATCGAATATCTCTGCTTGGATGTTTTACTTTAAACTCTCTGAACCTGTAACCTGTATTAACTTACTAGGTTATATCCAAATGCCTAAATTATTATCTCAACCTTATAACTAATTTATTCTCGAAAATAAACTCCCAGAGCCTTTTGTACTCATTTTTACAGCTAATCTAGATATTACTATGACAGAACCAATACTTGTGATCAGAACTTAATTATTAAACTGCTATGTTCTCATAGAGTTTACTTAAACCTCAGCATCTATTTCACAGCATAATCTAAATACTTTAGTATACCCTAAATTTTATTAGACTCCTAATTCAAATGGTCTGTATAGGATTATGATCAGTTTATCAATAAATTAAGTTTGCCTAATATCTTTTTTCTTTAGTTCATTCTGATGGCCTGGTTGATAGTATTTCTAAGACTTTCAACTTAAAGGTTCTTGTCTATCTAGTTATTAAGACCTAGATATCTATTTTTTCAGTCTAGTCTTTACAGTAGTGCTATTGAAGATCTAGCTACCTTTCTACTTAGATCTTCTTAAATAAACTCGATTTCAACTAATTTATATAGTCACAAGAACTTATCTAGTATTAGTACTACCTAATTTGTCAATTTGCATTTTTTTGTATAACTTCAATATTGTACAGATATCTCATAACCTGCTAGTTATGCTAATGCAATTATCATTACAGATATTCTAACTTAATCGTTAGTAACAGTTGCTATAATATAAATATTACATAGGTAATTATCCAAATTTTTGTAATCAATAGAATTTGAACACCCAACCTACCACTTGAAAGGTTGACAACTTGACTACTTTATTAGGTTACCACATTCCAGAAAATTAAATTTTTTTTGTTTTTAAATATTAATGGTAAGGCCATGCCTTTAACTTTATTGAAATTCAATTGAAGTTTTTACAAAGAAAAGCTTGCTTTTAAATTACATATGAAGAATAAAGACTCGGATATATAATCTGCGATCTAAACCTACAAGAGTGACCAAGGCTCATCTAGATTTGAGTGTTAGTAATAATATATATAAGAGAAGTATAATATTTAATCCATTGGATAGTTCAAAAATCAATTTTAGTAATAATTTGTGGTATTGAGATAGGAGGTAATGGTAGACTATGAAGAGAATTATGGGTTGAGTCAGAAAATTAATTTTTATATTATAAATCTTATAATAAATCATAAAAAAATGCAAATTTTAAAGAGCTAATTACAAAACTTTATTAATATAACTATTTTTATATCTTAAATAAAAAATAATTCTAATTTAATTCTAAATTGATTTATATAAAAAAACTCTTTTAAAAAAATTTTCATTTTAGCACTTTTTTTAGTACCTAGTCTATATATGTATTAAATTATAAGCTTATATTTATTATAATTGAATCTAATATAAATAATTTAATTTGTAATTAATTATAAGTAAGAGAAATTTACTTTGAATCAAATACTGTCTCTGCTATACTGCTAATATAATTTATATAATAGGTTTTACTAATTTATTTTACTCTTCTATTATAATTAACACTAAATAAAAGTCTTCAACTGTAGTAAAATAAAAATGAAAAACAATATAAATATAGATTTTTTTTTCTCTTTTACTAAGTTTTTTTTTTGCAATACTAATTTTTTTTAAAAATTACTATCTAATAAGCTAGTTTAAGTAAAATATATATTATAAATATTATAGATTTATTCTATTTTACCAAAGCTTTATTTTTTGTAGATCTGAATATAATATATAGAAACTTATATATAATAGTTTATACTATTTTTTTTAAAAAAAAAATTTTTTTCTTATAATACTAATAATCTTTTATTTTTTATTTTTTATTTTTTTTTAATGTTAAAGTCTTTATCTTTAGGATGTAATATTTTTATTCAAGTATACAAGATACAGGTTGCCTCTAAAGATTCTCTTATATTAGAGATTACAACTAGTTATATACGCACTTTTGATATTTAATTTAAGTAGTTTGTTTTTATATTGCTATATAAGTTCTATACTAGCTGTTATACTTGCAAGTCAACTAAAGATCTTGCTTATTTAAACCTTCTGCATATGTAATTCTTTTTGTATCATAAGAACATTTTCAAAGCTATATCTATTTAAGTTTTTGATACTAATTAGTACTCTTAGAACTACTTTATCCTTAACAGAAAACCTACTAAAGCCTTTATATTCTATATATACTAATCTAGTATTATGCAATATGCTATAGTTATCTAACACTTGTGTTATAGAAGTTATTTGTTTAACTGTTATATTACACTATTTCTACTTTTGTAAAGTTTACTAGAATCTCAGTACCTATCTTTTTAGTATTTTTTTTATTATTTTCTACTAGCCACAACTTAGAACTGTCAATCTCTAGCCAGACTACCAATCTAGATAGCATAATATAATATATTTCTGTATTCTTTTCCTCTAGCAGCCTGGTTGGTTATATGCTTCTTTATATATATTTAATATTTAGTTTAATGTTTAGTTCTTATAAAAGTGTTTCATAGGCTTTAACTAGTCTAACGATACTATCGAAAATTCATGCTACCTCTTTACTTTGAAATTTCTAGATAGATTTCTGTCATCTCAGTTTTTTAGTTTTCTACACTCAGTAGTTTTATTATGGGTTTGCACTAAAGTCTTATACAATACTGATTATATATTCTTTTATATATATATAATGTTATACTTCATATAAATGTTCTGAGCTTCCAATATAAGTAGAACCCAACTTGGTATACCTAGATTACAGCTATATAAGACCAATAAATCAACAGAAGACAGTTATCATAATGCAAATATAATTTTCAAATTTTATTGTAAATGAGATTTAAAACTTAGATTTACTATTTGAAGAATAACAATTTAACTACTATACTAGGATTACTCTTTTTTTTTCTTTTTTATAAGTTCTGATTATTAAAATATTAGATATATTAAGGCTTGAACTTAGAACTAATACTTTTTTTTCTTAGGTTTTTTTTTTTAAATTCTAATTTTACTAAAATGCAACATTAACATTATGTAAAAATTTAGATAGACAGAAACTATTATAAATAAGTACAAATTTTTTTTTTTTTATAAGCTTTTTTAAAATTTTTATTTTTGTTATTTCATATTTTTTTTTTGTAAATTTGTACTTGTATAATATTAGTTGTTTAAATATTTATTCATTATTTGGCTATATATTGTTTATTACTTGTTTTATTTATTTTTTATTATGTATTCTGTATATAGTTATCTGTTTATATTTTAGCCTTTATTTATTTATAACATCATTATTAGTAATACAAAAGCTATCTTAAATTAAACATAATGTAGAATAGCATCTTATAACATGTATGTAATATTATAAATAGTTTACAAAAGAATACAATAAATAGAAAGTATTGGTAATGTAAATTTTTTTTTTTTTTAAATATTAAGATGATCTAGGATTTTATTGGTAGTATTAGTTGGTTAGCATCTGTTAATATAACAGTCAAAATAATCATAAAAAGAGTGTACAACTAGCTACTTATACAACTTTAATCATTGTTTAATTTTAAGCTGTAAACATTTTTATCATAAAGAATACATTGGTAATACATATCTGCTATGTCAAGAACAAACTAATAGGATTGAAAATGCATTAATTTATTATCAAGAAAGTAGCTATTCCATTAACTTATTATTGAATTTAAAACATGCTAACATTTCTATTTTACTTACTGAATTTACCAAACCTACATTTACTGAATCTATTAAATCTACTGAACCTACATTTACTGAATCTACTGAACCTACATTTATTGAATCTGCTGAACCCATATTTACTAAATTTACTAAATCAACCAAACTTATTGAATCTAATAAATCTACAGAATCTAACAATATGCTTGTTAAATTCACTGAACTTACCATCTCTTTTATATCAATTGAATATACTGAATCTATTGCTTTTGTAAATTTTATGGACTTCACTTCTGCACCTATTAAGTCAATTGAATATGCTGAGGCATCCAAGTCTACTAAATCTAAAACAACCAAATCAAAAGCAATATTTAAAAAAACACAAATGATTCAGTTATTAAAAGAACTAAACATGCCTGTTA